AAAGATCAAAGACAATTTTCTGCATTTTCATTAAACATCCTGCATTCAAAACATATGCGTAGTATTTTCTTTCTTTTCTTGAAGAATGTGACAGCAACAACAAATTTCCTACAGAATCATTTCGAAGATTATCTTTACAAAATAACAGTTTATGTTGTGCCAGAAGAAGAATATACATTTAAGGTAAGGGAATGTGTAAATATCATTGTTTGCTTTCCATTTTAAGAAATTTGAAAAAAAAGAAAAAGAACACATATACTTACATACAATTGTGTGTTTGTCCTGTCAAATCATTAAATTTAAGCTTTACAACTTTAATAATATTAAATTCTTATAACGATGCATTGTAATTGGTCATTCTTTGTTTTAAACAGATTAAGATAAATGATATTTCAATTTTTGAACAATTGAAAACTATTGTATCAAATACCTCTTTACAAACAATTAAAAGACATTACTTCAAAAAATTTATTATAATTAAGAACTATTTAGTCAAATCATTTCGAGGAGTCAAAACTGTTTTATTGATAAATGTATCAATGAAATGTTGCGCTCCATTATTTGCATTAAAACTTTTATTGTTATTTCGATGAGAAGTAACATTTGAATTACTATTTCCAATTACTTAAATACTAAATTAATTATTACATATTAAGAATTATACCAAAGATATATACCATCAAATTACTTTAAACAATGTCATTTTGTTATTGAAGAAATATATGGTCAAATCACCTCCAAGAACATGTTAGTTAAAGAGATGGCGGGGTTTTATTGCAATTTACTGTATCACAAAAAGATACATTGCCATTATAAAGCATATTCTTTGTAGTAGCTAAAATACCCATTTCTAAATGTAATACAGGCAAAAGTACAAATATTCAAGATAGCCGCCAATATGGCCGACATAAATTACAAAATACCATATACTTTTTTTTCTTGACTTCTTAAATTAAAATTGTGTACAAAGTAGTATTATTTGAACATTATGAGATAAAATATGGTTAATTTATGATTCAATCAAGCAAAACTTTAAAATTATCACTATAAATATCACTTAATTATCGTTTCATATTACATCGATTTTGTGTCTCTTGACATCAATGAAATATTGGTTCAAATCACTTCAAAACAATATTAAGACTATCGTGTTGGTTATATTTAACATATTGTTGGTGTTTAAAAAAGTTTCTTATATCTGATAATGAACAGTAAAAAAACAACAAATAATAGAGAAAGACAACGAGGGTTGGCTATAGTTATGTTTGGAATACCTATACCATTCGTTTGTAAAGCCATGCGTGCATATAAATTATGCATAATTATCTCAGATATTCAAATTTTAGGTGTATGCTGTAAATGAAAATCAAATGAAAGGAGAACATATTATGGTTACACAAGTTGCTCCAGCAGGAGGTTTGTTAATTTTATATTTATTTCTTGGTAAGGTTTGTTTATTTTATATTTATATTTCTTTGGTAAATTTCATCTTTTCACTACTATGTTTCGATTGATTTGTTAACTCAGAAACTAATAAAGGCCATTGCCAAATGCCAAATAGTAGTTCGAAATTTGACTTGTTTAATTCCTTTAAAGACAAGTGCGTAACATGTTAAGTACTTAACGTGCTGTTGTTGCTGCTTACTAAGTAATGGTTATCACTATTCTAATTTATTGTCTCTCAAAATTGTCATTACTCAGTACAAAAACCATTTAGCATCTTGTTGAAGTAATTTTGCCAATTAATTCCACATATATACGATTCCTTTGATATGATATAAACTATAATTTGCTGTAGTAAATACAGTAAAAGAACTTTGATTTCAGTTCCTGCAAACATCGAAGAAACTCTAGATATTGCTGTCATCGCACTACAACGGGAAAAGGCTGTCGGTGAAAGACAAATTACGCTTACATTAGTCCGTGACTTTTTTGAAGAGTCAACAAATGGCAAAGTACAAGCCACTGGTCTCATTGTGTGTATTAACAACTGCGACCTTGACGGTAAAATGACACTGTTGATAATCTTCATCATTTTGTTTAAGAGGTTTGAAATTGTTAAGAAGAATTTGCAGAATATCAATTTGAAATGTAAATTCATGAATTTGTATCAGATACTAAGTTACAACTTTGATTATTATTTTTAAATATTGCATTACTGCATAGTTCAACATTTGGTTTTAAAGGACAATCATAGTGTCTTAAGCGTAAATGGAGTGTGAACGAGTAAATTGCTTTACCTAAGATAAATAATATTGATTTTTAGAATCGTTTATAAGGAAGCTTATTTTAGACTTGTCACATGATAAAGATGCAATCGTATTTACGTTTGATTATTAGCGCCAGTATTTTTGTAGGCGGTGTGAAAATAACCGATGTGAATGCGATGGAAAATTGGGCGGGAGCATCAAAAAAAGGTTCGATGTCATATCGGGCAACAACTCCAGAATGGCTGGATAAAGCTCATACTCAATGTGCATGTGGTATGCTATAGATTTACTTATTATAATTAACTAAAATTTCAATATATTTTTAAATTCAAGTAGTTTTGCAGTCCTTACACTTTTAGCTAGTGTGATATATACACTTGTCACTGAGGCTAAACTCTTTAAAAAATAAGTTTTTACGATATATACTTTAAATGCTGCTGAATCATTTAGAAACGTGATTATTCATGCATAACTTGCAACTTTCTGAGTGAGATGAGGAAATATACTTAATTTATCAACGATTTGTAACTTTAGTTGAAACGCTAAATTATTTTATAATAATCTTTGCTCAATTTTTTATTCTTGGATGAAATACATTGGAATACATGGGACTTTAATGATTTAAACTTTCGTCTGCAGATTTTGTTTATATATTTGGTGTTTTGTCATATTCAAATTAATATGATAAGTGTCTACGTTCTTTTTGGAATAAATAAGCGCGAACACATATTAAGTACATTGTTATCATGATTTATTTTTAGGAAGAAATAAACGGGAAGTCACAAATATTGAGTACATTGTTGGCAGTGAGGATTGTACAAATGTCTCGCCAGATGAATTTTGTAATGGTCCTCTTAAACCAGGGACAAGTTATAAGTATTGAACTTGTATTTGTTCTTTAAAACTTCTACAAAATAGACAAAAATATTAACATACTTTGATAGAAAAAACAAAATTGTTATTATTAAAATTAAACAGATTAATACAATTATAAGGTGAACCGTTTTTGACATGATTAAATTGTTGAAGACAATCTGTATACATTGATTGGTTGTTTACAGGTTTGTAGCATTTAGCTGTACAAACGGAGGATGTCTTTTTAGTCGACAGTATGGACCATTTACAACAGCTAAATCAGGTAAATTTTAATATTAAATGAGATAGAAAAATGGTCAATAAGAAAATAATTATAATTTCATTTATGTATTAATTATTCATTAATATGTTGTTTGGTTTTCTTTTTGATAATTCAGAACACATTTGACCAGTTTTACGAAATTATTTTGATATCTAAAAAGCACTGTTAAAGTCTGTATTTAATAATTTTAAGAATTTTGGTGAAATGTGATTGTAAACAGAAACATTCTACCAGTGTCTACTGTTTTCTTTTTTTCGTATCAAAAAAGGATTTTTATGAGAAGTTTCTTATGCTAGTAAATAAATGTTTCATGCTAGTTCAATATACAATATAGGGAAATCATACAATTAACTTTTATATGAATTAATTGATTTTCCTTATTATTATTATAGACTTGGAGAAAAATAAGTCTCATTTTGTATTTTAACTTCATATATATGCTTACTGTTTTTATTTAGAAGCGGTTCCATGCGATGCTGTAACAGGCAGCACACAGACTGTCATCGTTGGAGTTGTACTCGGTCTGGTTATTGTCGTTCTTCTAGTATATGCTGGTTTTATGACTTATCTAGTCAGAAGGTACAGGGCTAAAGGTAGGATATATTCACACTTAAACTATATCTTATAGAAATGGCTTCAAAGAATGGATAGAAATAAAGAAATTATAAGTGATTTAGAACATTTTTAAATATACATGTATAATTATAATTAATGATCAATGAAAGATATGTCTGCATCAAAAGCTACCACATAATACAAGACTACGTGTTAAAAAATACTTCGTCACACTGCCTTGCTATCAGGATAAAAGCGCTTTTATAAAACCACACTATAAATAATTTGAACGTTAACCTGAAAAATTAAAAAAAAGTAACACGGTTAGTCCATTCGATGCATTAAGATACCTGTTTCGCCAAATGAAAAAAAAAAACGGAATTCAAATAAAGGTTAGATTTTCATCTCAGAACATAATGGTTCTACTCGGGTGCCCGTTCATGTGTGAAATAAGCTAGAAAATCACCGTTTAATAATTAAGTCTTGATGATATTGTAAGTACAACAAAGCTAGCAGATACGAATCGAGGTCATATAAAGAAAAAAGAAACTTGTCGTGTTAATCACATGACGTATTGAAAGCTGTGTTTAATTCTTTGTTAAATATTTATACGTAATCTTTTCCAGATGAACAAGAAATAAAACTTGACAATGGGTAAGTTAAGTATAAATTATACTTTAAATGATGAGTGACTAGTGCATAATTTAGTAACATTATACTTACGAATGCAGACAGACGTGTCTATGCATGTATAATTATAAAAGTCTTAACTGAATATCAACACATTTTCAACACATGGAATAAAATTATGATGAATGGTTTACAAAGTTAGATAAAACCTATCAAATTATGGCTTTTGCTAAACATTCGTTTTAATTTCAGAAAAGATCGTAAGAGTCAAACATATGTTAATGAAACATTCATGACCGGTTCAGCATCAAATACATCGGGAAACTTAAACGTTGATTCAGGAGTTGAGAGCGTATATTCCAGACTCGATGACAATGTTAGAGAAGACAAAACAACATATGAAAGTCTTAGACCTTGACATAATACGACGTATTTGCTTTTAGTGCCAGAAAAAACTCACCTTTTCTTCATATACATGTACTATAAACAAGCGTATAATATGCAAATAAGTATGGATTTTGTAGCTGGTGAATATGATGTGATATGTACTGAAAAAAAATTCTTGACCTAGGCGATGGCTTGTCTACTTTTTTCTATAAATTGGCCCTGTCTTTTAAATGAGGCATTAGCATTCGTATTCGTATTGTTCTTAAAAATGTAAAGACGGTAACTAGAATAGACTTATTTGACTCTTATTAAAGAGTCATTAAACGTTTGTTGTTGTTTGTTTTTTCCCAGAATAATAACAACATTCTTGGCGCAACGTCACGCCATAGTCTCGCGTCTCTCGAGGGATTTCCAGAAAATCTATATTGAGAAGAAAAACCGAAAATCTATTTTTAGGAAAAAACAGTGAATATACACTGATATTGACCTGTTATTTTTTACAAAAAGATGGTTGTAAGCCAATCAGAGAAAGCCAATTTTAAAGCTTTTTATAGATTATATAATAAATAATATTATGAATGCTTATTTTAAAAAAAACATTTTGTATGCTAATTTGATGTACAAATGTTTCATATAAATAAAATAGAGTTATCAATAAGACTAAGTCATGAGGCATTTGCGCTATTGTCAAAACGAATAACACAGTAAGATCAAAGCACTGAATGTACTGATGGGGAGGCTATGACAGAATGTTTCAGACTTACAGTTTCTTTTCTTTTTGCTTAAAATGTGCTGTTATTTCAATTATTATCAAAATAAGAAGATATGCACATTGCGCTATTTATCCTTACTGTTGTGTTCAACCATTCATATATATGGTTAATATGGTTGACTATTCATTTTGTTAATATTCCAGAACATTTCATTTAGGTCTACATTCGGACTGTTAATCATGCAAATTTTGAAAAACCTAAACTGTCAATAATAAATGACATACCAGCAAGTATGACAACTGTTCATTATAAGATAACAAAAACATGTTACAACTGACGGTTCCTTATCAAAATATTCTAGGACTGTTCATCATAAATACTTAATGTCATTTTAATATTATTGAATGATACAGAGACATAGATGTTATCTATGTCTCTGAATGATAATAACAACTGCAAGTTATGCAACATTTTTATTGAACATAAAAATTATACACATTTACATGTACCATAATTGAGATCAATAAGATACTGTCTTGTGATAAGTATTAATATTCATGCTCTACGGACAGAAAGTTGTTTTCTCCACAAGCAAATCTCGATTAAAATCACGTTTCAGAAAATTATTCCCATTTCATTACTGACGGCGTCGGATAATATTAAAGCTAAATATTTCTTGAAAAAAAATACATATCTGCAAAGCTTATTCGAAATTGAATCAACCTAAGTGAAAATTGATCAGGAAGTTATATCTTCTTTTTTTACCCAACTTATGGTTGTTAACATGTATTTTTAAACCTCACTAGCTTGAAATATATACTGCGGAAAATCTGTTGTTAACAGGGTGAGCGGTTATTACGTAGGGTTTTCCCTGTCGACCATTTCCCGCAAATAGATGAGAACATTGAAGCATCAGTGCTATGAATGCTGTTATAAATGGCGTGTTTTGGAAGTTTTTGTTGAAACTTCTCAAAATCCCTCCAAAGGCGTGCACGTCGCGGAGAAGGCACACGGAAGGTCATGGTCAAGTCATCATAAGTACCAGAGGTGATTGGTCGTCCTGTCGTGACTTACTCTGGAGGTTTGGCGCTAATGAATGCCGTTTTTGTTGTCGTCAGTCAGAAAGTTGATGCCTTGACAGTATTGTCGTCTCCTTTACCACCAACGAACAAAGAATGGGCTACCAGGAAGATTCTGCTTGAAAAAGACGTCCCCGATGCTATAATCTCGGACATATGGTTATTCCGGCGCCGAGTATAAATAAACTTAAGACACACACACTTTTGTTGAAAAAAAACAAAAAAAAACAAAACAACAACACATTTTTCTGTAGTAATTTTTCAAGTGTTGTAAAATGAATACGAAATTCCTCTTATGCCGCCGTTCTTTATTTTTGATTTTTCAAATAAACATTAGTCACTTCAGCGCGCGCAAATATCGTTTTCAAATTAAAGTTTTCTAAGATATGTTAATGACTTCCCGATGCTCGACTGTAAGTAATTCGTTTATAAATGCGTTTTTTTTCTTTTCTTTTTTTTCTTTTTTAAAGCTTCTTATTCTTTAATATTTTTTATGTATCTCATAATCTGTATTGAAAATTTGAATTTTATTACACATGGACTATCAAATTATGATGCGTTGCCCTAGAATTGAATAAACTTTCTAATTACACAATACGGGGTCATTCATTTGATTGAAGACTGATCTTTGCGTCTTTCTCTGAAATAATTATTTCCTTGTTAAAACATATTTGACCACATATTTCTGTCATTTAACTGTTCACTTTACTTCCGATTTTTGTTGTACCGAAACACATGTTTCTATTTGTGTTTTCTAATCAATTCGAATCTATAATCAGTTTAATGGGATCACCACCGGGTAAACGACTACTAGGTACTTTGGTCATGTTTTTTACCCCAAATATTTGAATGTTTCTAAAAGATCAGAGTAGGGATCTGTCAATTGCCAGACATATTTTTAAAAGAAACTTTTATGTTAAAAGTTTGATGAATGAATTATGTAAGATGAAAATATAAGTTGGGGGAATTGTGTTTTACACAATTTGTGGCAATATTCTTAGAACCCAACCTTTGATAATTTTTCGGGATATGTGTGTATATAATTTTATATACATTTTTCAGAAATGTTTGCTTGCTTTGTATACAATTTTATGTTATATTATAACTTTCATATCAGCATTGTTTTATATGTTTATATGTCATTTATTATTAAATGGCCATTTCACAATTTTATGTTAGTTTGATAACTTTCATATCAACATTGTATAATATGTTTTTCCGTCATTTATTATTAAATGGCCATTTCAATTTCAAAGTGTAGTTGTTATTCTTGAAAATTATCAAACAGAGAAAACTTCTTCAGGCAAAGATACAACAAATTGAAATGTTGACATAAAACTTAATTTATTGCAAAATAAATGTTTTTATGGTCACTTACAAGCTTGATGGTGGGTTCCATTAGGTTTTTAGTCATAGGTCGAAATATATTGGGTTCGAAAAAGCCGTACTAGTAAGTACACTAAGGTTATCGTTATGAGTAAGTACAATGTGATAATTGATGCGGATTAAGTCCGCCATTTTAGAAGAAGAAATAATTCATAACAATTTTCAATAACCCACCATCCCACCCACATTCAGTATTCAATTTTTGACAAGCTTATAAACATCAAAAAGGTTTTGTGTTTGTTTATAATTTTATATACAAATGATTTTTCTTTGCACTTCAAGATATGTGTGTATATTAATTTCATACACAGTTTTAGGCAAGGCAATATTCTTAGAACCCAACCTTTGATAATTTTTCGGGATATGTGTGTATATAATTTTATATACATTTTTCAGAAATGTTTGCTTGCTTTGTATACAATTTTATGTTATATTATAACTTTCATATCAGCATTGTTTTATATGTTTATATGTCATTTATTATTAAATGGCCATTTCACAATTTTATGTTAGTTTGATAACTTTCATATCAACATTGTATAATATGTTTTTCCGTCATTTATTATTAAATGGCCATTTCAATTCAAAAACAAATATTTCACTAGCAATTTTCAAGTAAATGTGCAAACATAGTCCTTACAATAATTTGATAATATATAACTATCACATTAAACCACAATTCATATCAGTCCCAAGTTCACTTTGGGACTAAGATGTAAGGTAAATAATTGTCTTCTTCACTTGAGATCCAGGAAATTTCACTTGTTGGTATGTACTTATTATGTAGTCGATCCGGAATATTGGCATGTTATCCGCTATACCCTAAAATCCGCTACTGCCTAAACAACTGTATCTCCTGTATCTCTGGTATAAATAACGTGGCCTAGGTCTGAGAATAAACTGCAACACCACAATGTTGTATCGAACTTGAAATGTAGCGAAAATGTTGACTATTCACAAAACAAGAAGTTCCAGTGATGCACTAGTGAAACAATATCGTTTCCACCTAATTGTACGATAAAGCATTTTGGATGCAGTTCTGATACACTCAGTTCTCAACAGTTAACGTGGTGTTTATTGTAAATCTTTCCTCCATTTATACTTCGAAAATGTACATCTGGGGCCGGGCTAGCATCGCCACCAACGTTAAAGATTTGTTATTGTTACCCTTTTGTCGAAGAAATCGTTCCAACCAGTGTACATGAGATGTTCCTTATATTAGTATAGACATTTTACTAACATAAAATTGAAGAGTTAATCATCCACCGGTGTTTTTATACACATTATGCAGTAATCCAATCGCAAAACGTACTGTAGACACAGATTCCTTTGTTTACAAAAATGTGAAAACAAAGACAGTCAAAATACCAAACTGTGGCAAACATTCCTTACAGTGTTAGCTATTGCCGGATAAGTTGTAACCTTCCTGGACTAATGAGCGATCAAACAAAGTATAAGTACCGTGTATAAAAGCAATTTATTGAAAATTGTTATGAATTATTTCTTCTTCTAAAATGGCGGACTTAATCCGCATCAATTATCACATTGTACTTACTCATAACGATAACCTTAGTGTACTTACTAGTACGGCTTTTTCGAACCCAATATATTTCGACCTATGACTAAAGACCTAATGGAACCCACCATCAAGCTTGTAAGTGACCATAAAAACATTTATTTTGCAATAAATTAAGTTTTATTTTGCTAATGTAAAATGTAATCTTGTGCTGAAATTTTGTCGGAGGGTCCTTACGGGTTTTGTAGTTAAATAGTTTTTTTTCGGCGATAATGGTTCAAGAATATAATGTTTTCAAACTATATGTTCATCACTATCAGTGAATTTTTAGTTAAATGTATGCAAGATATTTACTAACAGCTACATGTATAAATGATATGGCGGTTTTATGAGCGTTTTCCGCGTAGCAGCCACTTAGGGTGTATAAATAAGTTAGTTTTCCTTAAGTTCACGCAAGCATGATCCCATGTCTCTGATGTAAGCGGACAGTTTACAATTATTTGTCTTTTAAAAAATATTAAGGACTATTAATTTGGTTACTTAACAACAAAGAACATGGCTGACATATGAGAATACGGTGTTGCAACGTTCTGTTAATGACCCTTTCATAAAACAGTTGGTGCGCTTGCCGTAGTAATTGGAAAATTGTTATCAAAAATAATAAAAAATATTTGCCACCAAATTAAAGCATTTACTTATAAATTTTCATTTATGCTTTTGTTAAAAAATATTGATAAAGTTATTATATAGAAGGGTTTTCATACCAAAACTATTTATGATCAACGTACGTATGCCTAAACCTGATTACCGCCGCAGTAAAAACTAAACAAATTTTTCAGAGAATTATTATCTTTACAAAATGCTGATATGAAGTTAAAGAATGAAAATATTTTCATATTGTAAATGTCTGTGATGAGTGATGAGTCAGCTTAAAAAAAAATCAAGGTACTATTTTTTGACCTGATTACCGCGGCAGTAAGATTTGACGAATGGTATTAACATTGGGGAGG